CGCGGGGGGTGGCTGGGGGCGCCCCTCGCCTGTGGGCCCGCCACTCCGCAGTGTCCTCTGCCTGGTGCCACGTTAGTGCTGCTGCCTCACGTTCGTCTCTGAGGACAGTTCAGCGAGCCCGGACCCACGGTGGGCATGGCTCCCTTCGGTCCATTCTCACCGGCACAGCTGTGCAGCCCAGGGAAAGCTGCCCTCCTCGGCACCTGCCGTGGGCTTGCTGTGTGGGTACCTGTGCGTTGTGGTGGACGCCGAGGGTGGCGGTGTGATGGGCACAGTAGGGCAGCGAGGGCGAGGGCTGGGAGAGTATTGGGGAGCTCGCGGTTAGACGTGTGGTGTGAGACTGTCCGGAAGTCGTCACTATGGGGTGTGCTGCACCAGCTTCAGCTGATGTACAGTTGCTGTCTCTCGTCCCGGTCTGGAGCTCCTCGCAGCAGGGAGAGCGCAGTGCCCTAAGCCACCCTCCAGTAGAGCCTCGCCTTGGCAGTGTTCAGGCGTAGCCGCGCGTGCAGTCACCGGTGGCTTGGGCTGGGCAAGGAAACACTCGTGTGATCTCACCCTCCGGTTGGTTTTCCAAACTAAATGATAAAACAGTAGGTCTAAACAGACGCTGTGAACGGTGGCGGCACGTGCACCTCAGCCCCCACCGCAGGCTGTTCGAGTTCACGGCGCACGTGAGCTTTGGCATAACCGCTGTCCCGATCTTCAGGGTGAGGAAGAATACAAATCAAAGGAACGCAAAGAGCGGTACTCGGGCAGCTGGCCGCAAGACAGTGAGCCGGGCGCCGTCGGTGGGCTCCACTGCAGTTGCCAATGCGTGGAAGTTCTGAGGACATAGCCAAGTTGGAAAGAAGAAAAGGAAATCCCCAAATGCCCACGACTGGAGAGGCCTAGGGAGCAGGTGTTCAGCAGACACCACCACCATGGTGCCCCGAGGAGTCCACGCCAATCCTCATGCAGATCCTGAGTGCCCGGATGCCAGGCTCCAGCAGGCCACACTGCAGACCGCGACGGCCCCTATGAAGTCAGGGGCCTACAAGACATGCCCTGTCCTCTCGTTAAAAGAGGACGAGAGACGGGGCCAGCAGGTGGTGTGGTTTAGGCGGCTAGATCCCACGTGGCCAACCATGGAGTTTGACCTGGCGGCCTGAGAAACATGCCAGGCACACGTGTGTATGTCCAAAATCCCAAAAGAAGGACGAGATGAAGGAGAAGGGATTGCAATGTGACCATGCCCCATAGGGGTGTTTTCCTCTCTCTCTGGCAAAATTATTAAAAAAAAAAAAAAAAAAGGAGTAAGGCTGGCAGGTAGCATGATGGTTAAGGATGCAGGACTTCACATAGTCGACCACAGTTCGAATCCCAGACCTGGTGGCTTGCTTTCTCACTTTCTCTCTCTTTCTCCTTCTCTCTCATCAAATTAAAATAAATAAACAAAAAATAAAATTAAAGTTAAAAATAATTATATGGGGACCAGCAGGTAGCATGGTGGTTAAGGTGCTAGACACTCCAATGGAGCCGGCCACAGTTCGAGTCCTGGATCTGGTGGCTTGCTTTCTCTCTTTCCTTCTCTGTGTGTGTGTGTGTCTCTCTCTGGTCAAATTTAAATGAATGAATAAGTTAATTAATAATTAACAAATTGATAAGTTAATAAATGAATACATTGATAAATTAATGAATAAATTGGTAAATTAATAATTAATAAATGAATAAATAAATTAATAATTTTTTTTTTAAGTAGACTAGAGTAACTGCCCGTTTCTGAGATACTTACTATCTGTCTTTGTCTGGAAAAGAAAGGACAGGAAGGGCCCTCACAGAAGGGGGGACCCTCAGATCTGTAGGGTGGAATGTAAGTCTGCACCACCCGTGTGTGTCCTTGGCATGCCCACCGGTCCTGGACGAAGCAAGGGCAACCCTTCTGTGAGGGCACCCACATAACCTAAGCACGAGAGGTTCACGCTGAGAACACAGCCGGGTTCAAGGCCACAGACAGCTCACCCAGCAGACGGTGGAGTGAGTGCTCGAGAATGGGAACTAACAGCATTCTCCTAGAAGACTGAAAGATCGGTATGAATATGATTCAGATGACTGAGTAAAACAGTTCGGCCTAGTGTCAAACAGTAAACTATTGCGGTGTTCTTCAGAAGCAACTTTTGTGCCTATTGCAAGGAAATGATATATCCTGTGCTGCTTACTCATCCTCAAAAATAAAAAATGGATTTTTTTTACACACACACAAACTTTTTAAAAGTTAAAATAGATAAATAAGCAGATTTTAAAAAATAATAGAAAGGAGATAGAACCTGGAATGGACAAAAAGACTGTCACTGTCATTGAAAACTCAGTGGCTGAATCAAACAAAGACAAAGCCAAGAAGAGAATGAGTGGTCAGCTCACCTGAAGGGAGCAGTCAGGACTGCAGAAAGAGGTTGCACAGACCCGGTGAGAAGCATCACCCCTGAGCGTGATGGGATGCACTGAGAGGATGTGCAGAGGACAGCAGAAATAGGGGGGCGATGGTGGAATAGCGCTCAGAAACTTCCCAGATTTGAAAGGAGTTTCCAGTGTAGAAAAGCACAGCGAGTCCCGAAAAGCTTGAACAAGCACAGAGGCACCCAGACACCCCAGAACAAGAGTCGTCGGGTAAGTCGAAGATAAAAAGTCAGCTCTTCAAACTAACCGGAATAAACGAGTGTTATTTGCAAAGGAGCCCACAGTTTCACGGGGCCGGCTCCGTGGCTGTGGTAACGTGCTGCTCGGAGAAACTGGATCCCGTGTGGCAACTGCGATTCCAGTTCCCTGCCTCGTCAGCCCAAGAGCCAGCAGGACTGGAGGAAGGCGGGTCTCGGCAGGTCCAGACCCGAGGAGGGTGCTCACCTCTCTCTCACTCTCCTGCTTCTGTCATGAGTGAAGAAAAAACGAAGAACAAAACAAACAGAAAGCTGGTAGGCCGGACCGCGGGGTCTGGGAACGCGTGCACAGTTGTCAGCCGGCTCCACCGGGCAGCGGGCGTGGTGCCGAGGGAAGTGGCCGGCACCTAGAGGCTCTGCCCAGCCGGACCCCCTTCAAGAACGAGGGTGCAGGAAACGCATTTCTGCCAGTGACAGGACACCGCGGAGCTCCACAGAAGGTAACCACCACGGCCACATCGCAGTGAGGAGGGGGTAAACGCAGGGGGCACGGGGTGCGGAGGTGCAGGAGGCCACACGGAGCAGATGGGCAGCTGTCCTCACAGGAGAGAAATCGGGGCGGGGGGGGTTGCCTGTAACATAATGTCTTTTTTTTTTTTTTTTTGGAGAGGTTTTTGCTATAGGGCGCGTGCACTCGCCAGACAGAGACAGAGAGATAGAAAGCGAGAAATCACCCCCCAGGGGGGATGGTCACGCCGCAATCCCTTCTCCTCCATTCTCCTCTTGGGATCTTGGGCACGCACACACACGCGCCCAGCGTGAGTTTTAAGCCACTGAGTCCAGGACGCAAACCGCGGTTGACTACGTGGGAATCCAGCGACATAGCCATTACACTAACTGCTGGTCCCACATAATGTCTTCTTAAAAAATATTTATTTAACTGTTTATTTTAATTTGACCAGAGAGGGACAGAGTGAGAGAGAGAGAGAGAGGGAAAGTGAGAAAGCAAGCCGCCAGGTCCGGGACTCAAACCACAGCCATTGGGAATCTAGTGCCCTCAACCACCACGCCACCTGCCAGCCCCCGGTACATGATGTTAATGATGGCCGATGTGGGGTTAAACTTGAGGAGGAATGGTAGAACTAAGGCACCCTAAGAGTCTTGCATTAATACCGAATATAGAACAAATTAGGGTGTGCAGGGTGCGTGTAATCACACAAGACACCGTTTACAATGAAAAGTAGACTGATTTCCGGTCAGTAGAGCACAGAGGAAATGAAAGAGTGAAAATTG